ATTTGTGTGTGTGTGTGTGTGTGTGTGTGTGTGTGTGTGTGTGTGTGTGCCTCCTCTGTGGTTTGGAGCAATCCCAGTCTGATGAATGTGTGTCTCTCAGAACCATGAACGTTCTTCCCTAAAAAGAAAATCTTCATAGCAAATTCTCCCTACCATTTGTCTTTCCAAACTGGCCTTTGCCGATGCTTTCTTGTAACATGATGGTCCTGGCAATTTTTCTATGAACAAGCAGCAGTAAACCTTTCTTCCCAGGTAGCTGCATCACCACAGTCATCAATAGGATGAGAAAAAGCCAGCAGCTTAGAGCAACAGCCACTGCCTCCATGGTCCCACCATTGTTTGTGGCACAGCCCTGGCAGAAGCTTTTCCTAGGTTGGCCTCAAACTCAGGATCCTCGTGCCTCTGCTTTCTCCCAGTAAATCCAACCAGTGTGCCACTACAACCTGCTGAGTGTAGCTTGGGTCTGAGCTGGGGCCCACAAGGCCACAGACAAGAGACTTTTTTGTGAATTCGTACCACTAACGTTGGGCACCAGATGTAGCAGGAATCTTAGAGTCTTATTAATAAAATCAAACCTGAGGCCAGTTATTGGAGTGAATGCTGGAAGACCAGAGATGCAGAACAAGGCAAAGCTACCTCACCTTCCCAGTTCCTCAGCTGATCCTGTTTCCTCAGACTGGAAGATTCTGAGTCCCTATCCAAATGAATCTCATCTAAACTGCTGCTAGAAGCCTAAACGCTTAACCAGTCAAATGCTTCTAGTTTCTCGTCTTCACTCCTTATATACCTTTCTGCTTTCTGCCATCATTCCCTGGGATTAAAGGTATGAGTCACCATGCCTGACTGTTTCCAATGTGACCTTGAATTCACAGAGATCCAGAGGGATTTCTGCCTCTGGAATGCTAGGATTAAAGGCATGTGCTACCACTGCCTAACCTCTATGTTTAATATTGTGGCTGTTCTATTCTCTGACACCAAATAAGTTTTTAGCATGCACAATATTTTGGGGTACACAATGCCACCACACCATTGGCTGTCAAATGTGATTTACTGCCATAATGTCTTACTATGTTGGAGCTAGCTGATTCCCATTCATTGTGATGTGATGAAAGAAAATTGAGAGTCAGAGGGACTGTACTGGTCCCAGCGACAGCAATGCTATCATAATGCTTCTAAGTAAATCTCTGTCTCTTCTCTTTTCTGGACTTCAGTTTCAATAGATGTCCAAAAAAAAAAAAAAAAAGGCTTCAGCTAGAATGTGTCTGTGATGTCTTATATTCTGTATCTGTGGTACTGTGATTCTACAGTCTACACCAAAAGAGAAGAGGTTGTATTAATATTTAGTTGAATTGAAAACAGAGGCTTTTTGCTGGATGACTGACTTATTTTCTAATAGACTGAAGTATCCTCTTTCTAATTAATTTTTATCATAACTGGAGAATCTATCAAGTTTTATCATGGTGACAATCCCTTCTTGCAAATTTAATATGGGCAATCAGTATTTATCCTCTGGAAGAGCAATGAGCCTAGGTACTTCATTTTCCTTGACCAAAAAAGCCTAATGAAATCTCAGGTCCATTGATTCAAACATACCTTCACTCAGGTAAATTGTGATGCTTAGCTGAAAAACAAAGCCCAATTCTTTTGATAGTATTTTAGTGTGATACTGTACATTAGTATGAGGTTTTGTAGGTTTTTTACACACACACACACACACACACACACACACACACACACACACACAAACACACGCATGCACACTCACACGCACACTCACATGCACATGCACACACAAATTCTCAATGGAAAATTTGAAAGCCACAAGGACCTGGATAGATGTAATGCAGACATTAAGAGAACATAGATGTCAGCCCAGATTAATATACCCAGCAAAACTTTCAATCATCATAGACAGAATGAACAAGACATTTCAAGACTAAGCCAGATTTAAACAATACTAATCCACAAACCCAGCCCTACAGAAAGCACTAGAAGGAAAATTCCAACTGAAGGAAGTCAGATACTCAAAAACACAGGCAATAGATAAAGACACAGCAGTAAACCCCAAAGAAGAGAAGTAAACACACACACAACCAACAAAAAGAACATGGATGAACAATAACTGGTCATTAATATCCCTTAATATCAATGGACTTAATTCACCTATAAAAAGACATAGGCTTACAGAAAGGATACGAAAGCAGGACCCATCTTTCTGCTGCATAAAAGAAAAACATCTCAAATTCAAAGACAGACACTACCTAAGAATAAAAGGCTGGGAAAAGCCTTTCCAATCAAATGGTCTTAAGAAACAAGTGGGTGTAGCCATCCTGATATCCAACAAAATAGACTTCAAACTAAAAACAATCAAAAGAGATCAAGAAAGGCATTACATGCTCATCACAAGAAAGATCCACCAAGATGAAGTTTCAATTCTGAACATTTATGCCCCAAACACGAGGGTGCCCACATATGTAAAAGAAACATTAGTAAAGCTTAAACCACAAATAAAACCCCACACATTAATAGTGGGAGATCTCAACACCCCACTTTCACCACTGGACAGATCTCCCAAATCAAAACTTAACAGAGAAATAAAGGACTTAACTGATGTCATGACCCAAAAGGACCTAATAGATATCTACAGAACATTCCATCCTAACAAAAAAGAATAAACCTTCTTCTCAGCAACCCATGGAACTTTCTCAAAAATTGTCATATACTTGGCCACAAAGCAAATCTCAACAGATACAAAACAATTGGAATAACCTCCTGTGTTCTATCAGACCACCATGGTTTAAAGTTAGATCTCAACAACAACAAAAACTACAGAAAACCTACAATCTCATGGAAACTGAATAATGCTCAACTGAATCACCAATGGGTTAAGGAAGAAATAAAGAAAGAAATTAAAGAATTCCTAGAGATCAACGAAAATGAAGACACAACATACCCAAACTTATGGGACACTATGAAAGCAGTG